TTCTGTTCTCAGAGGGAAGGCTCTCAGCCTTTCTGTTGAGTATAACATTGGCCGTTTGTTTTGCATATGTGCCATAAAGGAACTCTTGAAGGTGGTTAATGGTTTGCTTGAGGTTTGAAACATGTTTTGAAGTTGGGGCTGAGATCTTGTCTGTGATTTAGATACCTGTGTAAAAGGAGACTTTTAAAAAGAGTGGAAACAGCAAACAGACCACGGGGCCTGGGGCGTGGGGGAGGTGTGCAGCTATTTGAGATAGTAAAACTTGATTTCTAGCACTGGTGAGTGGTCAGTGGTGTTTGAACATTGGGTCATTTACAGGTACACTGGTTTCCAAAAGGCATTTCCTGCAGCAAAGGTCTTTAAAAAAAAAAAAAAAAGAATCCCCTGTGAACCAAAACTCTTTCTTTAGGTATGATTATGTGAATCTAGCACTGATCCCATGTTCGGTTTTAAGCTCCTTGAGGAGCCCACTCCTAAGAGATCTACTGTACTTTTGGAGTTGGTGAGATCTGGGTTAGAATTTGAGTTGTGTGCCCCAAGTTATACTGGACCTTAATGATAAGCTATAATAGTTGTTCATACAGTAATGTCTTAGATTGGGGAAGTAAGTTTGACTGGCCTGGTGGCCTGAAATGGGGAAGAGAGGCAGGTATCACCTTCACACATTGCCAGAGTTCACAGGTTCAAGGAAAATGTAGGGAACATAAATCAGCACTTATGATTGTGCCCCTCAGAGAGACTCATTATTTTGAAAATCCAGTCTGAGTTTGCATTACATCATTAAAATAAAAACAAAAATCAGCCTTTCTGCTGATTTTTTCCTGGTGCCGGCTTTTGTCGAATACCAGCCAGCCTGTCCTACCAAGTCGGTGGAGAAACAGTTGATTTTGAGCTGGATGGAATATTTTTATTATTCGCAGTGTAAAGAAAATGTTTGCTTTCACTTTCTTAAAACCCCCTTTCACTGGGAAAATAGCTGAAGAACCTGCTGGTAAGAACAAAGAGCCAGATCCCCCTCTGCTGCAAATTTGGTTTTCATGCAGAGCTTCCTTGTGAAGTGTGAGGAGCCTTCTCTTAGATGGACCCAGGGAATAAGGGAGAACCCTCAGGAGAGGAGTCCCTTCCCTCCTCCTTCCATCTACGGGCAACTCAAGGACCCCAAGTTCTGTTGTTTGAGAAGGCTTTGCTCAGCCGAAAGCTCTCTTGTTTTCCTTCTAAAGCCAAAATGAGGCAAGACAATAGCCACTTGCCTCATATAAACCACCTGCTCCGTAGGAAATGAAGCAAAACTGTGGAGTCCCTATTGCTACTTGGAGAATTTGTGGTTTCCTTTCCTGTCAGTAAACAAAAGCCACCAGTTAAAAGAGTGGGGCATTAATTGTTTACAGGATGTTTGCTGTATCAAAGGAAGGAAAAGTGGCTTTTATAAAGTTATGTTCATTGTGTTGGGAATATTACAGCATAATTTAAAGGATCTCTTCTAGAGAAGAGAAATTAACCATAAGATATGCAGTCACAAAACACAGATTGTTTTAATTAGCATCATGTTTAAAGGCTTACTTCATATATTAAAGTTGAGGGGTTTATAACGTATCAGTATGAAAAAAATTTAGAGAACGGAAGGCCTCCACAGAGAAAAAATGGATTTCTAAAACTTCTGAAAAATGTTGGTGCTCAGAGAACTTGAATTTATTTTTCACCGGAGAAATCATGCTTTATGGTGTCTTAGTGTGTCTAGTGATACCCTACTTGGGCTTGCCCAGGTTGCTTTTCCATCTCTCTGGTCACAGACCTAGGTTCCCTAGCACACTGTGATGTCCTCTAAGGCAGGGAGACTGCCTGTCTCCTCCATCTTGGCATCTGCAGTTCCCAGCACTGTGGCTGATGACTGGGAGGTGCTCGGTGAACATTTGCTGAGTGGATGGCTCGATGGAAGGATGGATGGGTGAATGCTTGATTGGAGTTAATAAATTCGTGAAGATTGAAACCATAGCATATGATGCCCAATAATCTTCTAATTAATGTTAGGAAATTTTTTTTTTTAATTTGATGAAGCAGTAAAATTTATTAATTTTATGAAATCTCACAACTTGTCTACACATCTCTTTAATATTGTATACAGAAGTGGAAAGAATACACAGAACACTTCTGCATACAGAAGTACAGGAGTTGCCTCAAAGAAAAGCACTTGTATGTGATTGTTTGAATTTCAAGCTGAAAGAGTAGCTTTTTTTATAGAATACCTTTTAAAAAAAATTTTTCAATTGAGGTGAAATTGATACAACATAAAATTAACCATTTTAAAGTGAACAATTCAGTGGCATTTAGTACATTCAGAATATTGTGCAACCACCACACCTATCTAGTCCCAAAACATTTTCATCATCCCATAAGGAAACCTCGTACCCATTAAGCAGTTGCCTCCCATCCCTTCTTCCCTCCAACCCCTGCACCCATTCATTTGTGTTCTATGGATTTACCTATTCTGGATACTTCATATAAATGAAATCATACAATATGTGACCTTTTGTGTCTGGCTTCTTTCACTTGGCTTAATGTTTTTGAGGTTCATCCATGTTGTAGCCTGTATTGGAACATCAGTCTTTCTTATGGCTGAATAATATTCCATTGTATGTGCATACCACAATTTGTTGTTTCCATTAATGCATTGATGGACATTTGGGCTGTTTCCACCTTTTGGCTGTTTTCACCTTTTGAATATGCATGCACATATATTTGTTTGAGTTCTTGTTTTCAGTTCTTTTGGGTATAGACCTAAGAGTGGAATTGCTAGGTCATATGGTAGTTCTGTGTTTAACTTTTATAGGAACTGCCAAACTGTTTTCTGCAGTGACTGTACCATGTTGCACTCCCACCAGCAATGCCTGTGGGTTCCAGTTTCTCTACATCCTTCGCAACACTTATTTTCCGTAAAAAAATTATTATTATTATAGCCATCTTAGTAGGTGTGAAGTACCTCATTGTGGTCTTGATTTGCATTTCCCTAATGACTCAAATGACGTTGGACATTTGCATGTGCTTGTTGGCCATACGTATATCTTTGGAGAAATGTCTATTCAAATTCTTTGCCAATTTTTTAGGTAGGTTTGTCTCTTTGTTGTTGAGCTGTAAGAGTTCTTTGTATATTCTGGATACTAAATCCTTACTAGGTATATGATTTGCAAATATTTTCTCCCATTCTGTGGATTGTCTTTTCACTTTCATTATGTCCTTTGGTGCACAAAAGTTTTTAGCTTAGTTGAAGTCCAATTTATTTGTTTTTTCTTTTGTTGCTCATGCTTCTGGTATCATATCTAAGAATTCATTGCCAAATCCAAGGTCATAAAGATTTGTTCCTATGTTTTCTTCTAAGAGTTAGTTTTTTGGTCTTAGCTCATATATTTTGGCTGTTGATCCACTTTGAATTAACTTTTGTATATAAAGTGTGAAGTAGGGGGTCTAACATTCTTTTGCATGTGGAGATCTAGTTGTCCCAGCACCATTTGTTGAAGACACTCTTCTTTCTGTATTGAATGGACTTGGCATCCTTGTCGAAAAATCAGTTGGCCATAGATGTTAGGAAATCTTGTTGATAAATACTTTGCTTTGGTTTTCTGAGATCAGAATTGGCAACATTGGCTGCAAAAGTTATGTCAGTGAGGATTTCTTACCCCTCCTCTCCCTCTGCACATAGTCTTAAATTCAGCTAGAATTGAGGAACTTAATAGTAACTCTTCATCACCTGTTTCATTTCAGTGCTTCATAACAGTTGAGACAGATTGGCAAAGGTGGGCTTTCTAAAAGCTAAGGACAGTTACAGCCTTCTTGGTAGGTGACCCTGTAATTTATAACTTTTCAAGGTGAAAGGAGGAGCCATTAGTACTACACTGGGACAATGTTAGTAAACCAGGACTGTCGTGGGTGGTCCTACTCGTTGGAGTCTGTCCTGTCCTTTGTAGGAAGCAGAGTGTCATGATTTCCCAGGATTTAGAGAACCACACTGTCTTTACCAACCCATGTTCGTGCCCTTTAATCTGTTCTGTGTATTCCAGATTGTTGTGCTTCCAGTCCATAGTGTCAGCTGGGAGAATGGGCCCAGGGTGCTTTGCTTCAGCTCAGTTGGTAGAAACTCTTACAATTATTATTTTAAAAAATGATATGGTGAAAAGAGCATGATTTTAGGAGCTAGACAGACCAGAGTTTACATCCATCTCTCTGACTTACTTGCTGATCAACTGTGGGCAAGGAAGTAACCAATTTCTCTGAACCTCAGTTTTCTCATCTAGACAGTGAGGCAGAAAAGGCTTTTTTTTCTTTTTTTTTTTAAAGGTAGCTATGAGTTTAGAGATAACGTATATAAATATTTAGCAGTGTCTGGTACCTGATCAGTGCTGAATACTTAATAATGGCCATTGCTGTTACTATTAAAAGCAGATGCAGTTTAACAGAATTTAGTACTGAGCAGCAGTTCTCAAACCCTTTGGTCTCAGGCCCCCTTTACACTCTGAAAAATTATCAAGGACCACAAAGAGCTTTTGATTATGTGGTTTGTGTATTGATATTTACCATATTGGAATTAAAGCTGAGACATTTTAAAAATATTTATTAATTTAAAACAACAGTAATAAGCCTTTTACACATTATTATAAATAGTAACATTTTATGAAAATAACTCTTTTCCAAAACAAACAAAAAAAATTAATGAGCAGAATGGCATTGTTTTGCATTTTTTAATTAAATTAATGTCACCTAGATTCTCATATCTGCCTCTGTATTCAATCTTTTACACTATCACGTATTATATAACTCCCCTGTATAATGGCGAGAGAATGAGTGGAAAAGGTAAGTAGTATCTTTGTATTATTATGAAAATGGTTTTGACCTCATGGACCCCTGAAAGGGTCTTGGAGACCCTCAGGGGTCCTCAGACCACACTCTGAAAACTGCTGGCCAAGAGTTTTTTCTGTGAATCTGAATGACTCTCTTTCTTCTCTTTATAGATTCCTGCTGCTGGTTGTGTGACTGGGGGAGCTGCTGTTTTTCTCTTTTGGAGGTAAGCCTGCGGGGAAGGCGAGATTTACAGTCATCTCCTTGCCCCAAACGGTCATTTTGATTTGTTTAATTTGTCTGTGTGTCTGTGTGGGACAAAGAACTTGGTATGGCCTTTGTCTCTGGTTTCTGAAAATAGCCCTTGGAATTCTGGAGCAATAAGGTGCCCCTTTGTTTCTAAAGCAGCCAGGCAAGACTTAAATATGTCTAAATGAGTAGGAACTGCACAGACCCCATACTGGCAACAGACCTCAGGAAGGGAGGGGTCATGATGCAGTCAGTCATGCATGTTCATTGATTCATGCATGTACATTGGGCACCAATGACCACGGCACCCTCCACATTGGAGCGTTGTCTTTGAGGCTTCTTAGATTGGTGAGAACTTCCATGTGGGAGAGGGGGTTCAGCACACCTCTGGGGACAACGGAGGCCTTGTGCTGCCAGGCCCTCTTCCAGACCTTGCCTGATGCATCTCTTCTTTTGTGCCCTTTCTGGTTATAATAAATGGGTAACTGTAAGTATAGGCAATAGTCTCTGTGAGTTCTGTGAGTCATTCTAGTGGATTATTGAACCCACCAGGGGAAGAGAGAGCCAGCAGAGAGGCTGGCGTTTGCCTGTTTGGCAGGGGCTGAAAGGACAGAGTCCTAACCTGTGGAGATCCAACTCTGGGTGGTTAGGGTCAGAGAGGGAAAGTGCCGGGTGAGTGGCTGGTGTCAGAGTGATGAAGGGGGAAAGTGGGGGATATGAGCTGTCTTCACATTTTGGAAATTAGCCTTATGTTGGCCATTATTAATACAGTGACCCATTAATTTTTTTTTTTTTTTAAGATTGTTTCTATTCCCACTGGCTCACAGATGGAATGTTGTGATTTTTTCACTCTTCCAAAGTGAGAGGAAAACACAATGGAACTTTAGAACTGCCTAAATTGGGGGCTTCAAAAGGAGGCACTAATGAGTTTCTGTGAGCTTCCTTGAATGTGTTTAAAAGGTTATGATTTTTAAAATTGGTTTGTACTTGAGCGTATTGGTGGGTAAACTGGACAAAGGTTGCTTTTCTAGTCGAGAAATTGGACATCATGGTTGTTCCCTGATTGAATGAGCTACTGAGAGGGGCCATTTGTAAGGAAGATGGTAGAGGTGGGGGCAGTGGAGGAGGAGAATGAAGGTTTCCTTGCTGAGGCCCAGCTGCCTGTTGCCCAGGGAACTGTTACCTGAAACACTTTCCTCAGGCATAGAATAAAGGCCGAGCTGCTCTCTTACTTGTGTTTATTCACAAATAGTACATTTTTTTTCTTTCTTTTTCCTTTTATTTTTAGTTGTTGTACTTTAAATGAAGTTTACATTTCAAGTTAGTCTCCCATACAAAATTTGTATACATACATTGTTATGTGACCCTAATTGCTCACCCCTTTCTGCAACAGCACTCTCCTCCTTTCCACCCCTATTTCCCCATAACCATTCAACCAGCTCCTAACCCTCTCTGCCTTCCCATCTCATCTCCAGACAGAAGCTGCCCCTTTAGTCCTTTGTGTCTCCTTGAGCTAAGAGGCACATTCCTCACGAGTATCACTTTATATCCCACAGTCCAGTCCAATCCCTGTCTGAAGAGTTGGCTTCGGAAATTGTTTTAGTTCTGGGCTGATAGAGAATCCAGGGGCCATGCTTTCCGGGGTTCCTCCAGTCTCAATCAGACCATAAAGTCTGGTCTTCTTACTAGAATTTGAGTTCTGCATCCCACCTTTCTCCTGCTCCATCAGGAACTCTCTGTTGTGTTCCCCGTCATGGCAGTCATTGGTGTTAGCCGGGCACCATCTAGTTCTTCTGGTCTCAGGCTGATGAAGTCTCTGGATTATGTGGCCCTTTCTGTCTCTTGGGCTAATACTTTCCTTGTGTCTTTGGTGTTCCTCATTGTCCTTTACTCCAGGTGGCTGGGACCAATTGATGCATCTTAGATGGCTGCTTGCAGGCTATTCACAAATAGTACCTTTTCTTTAACAGCAGATAATAAGATGAATTTGTGAAGGAGCCATTGCAGAATTAATGACCCTGCAGCACATTTGGTATCTGTCTTTGAAATATCAAAAATGGATTTTTAATTTACAGTTTTATAGTATGTATATAAAAGCAAAACTTCTTCTTTTTTTAAAAAGGAGGCAGCATAGTGTACTGGGTAAAAGCATGCAGTCTAGAATAAGACTGTCTGGGCTCATATCCAGACTGCTGTTTACTAGTTCTGTTAATTTAGCCATGTTATTTACCATCTCTGTGCTTCAATTTCCTCTTCAGTAAAATGGATAATTACAGAAACAATTATAGTGAAAATAATAATTGTGAAGATAAATGTGATCATCAAAGCAACGTGTTTCGAACAGTGTCAGGCATATAGTATGGGCTCAATTAATGGATTATTTTTTATTGTAGTTTTTCTTTTTAAGCTGCAGGACTCTGTTGAAATCTCCGACCCATAAATCTGAGTGTTTGCCTTCTTGGGAATATTTGTCATTATAACTGTAGCTTTATATATAAGCCATTAGAAATATCACTAAGCACGTGCATGTCTGAGCAAACTAATTTATGTAAAAAGATCAATAGTATAGGAGACACCATTGTTTCATACCTATAATCCAGTTAATGTGGGAAGGGAGAAACAGTTTATGTTCTTGTTGAAAAATTCATTTTGAAACTTGCTGAATAATCCTGTTTTTCATTTTTTTCTCCTAGCCGCTCCTGAGATTCTTGCTCCATCATCTCTCATTGTTACGGTTCTAGGGCGTGTTCCTTTGCTCCACCCCCCACTCTGTTCTTGTGCTTTAGCATCCTGTCGTTCGTGTACTCCAGCGTTGTGAGTACCTAACCAGCAAGCTTTTCACCCCTTTTCTTCTCTCTCTCAATACTTTGTAAAACACAGATCTTAAGAATAGATGAGCATGTGGAGAAATGCCAAATACAGGTGCTATACCTGACAAGTAGGAAGAGTTGTGTGTTGTTGTATACTTAACCTTTCATTTGGGGATAATTCCAAACTTACAGATAAGTTGCAAAAATTAAAGTAGTACAAGGAACACTGTGTACATTTTACCCAGATTCAGTTACTAAAATTTTATCTCGTTTGCTTTATTATTTTTGTGTCTTCTGTCTTTCCCCTTCCTTCTTTCTCTCCTCTGTCTCAGTCTGTCTGTCTCTCTCTCTCTCCACACACCGTTTTCTTCTGAATCAATTAGGGATGAGTTACATACATCATGGCTCTTTGACCCTAGCTACTTCAGTGTATATTTCCTAAGAATAGAGAACAGTTATCAACTTTGGTTAATTTAATATTGATTCAGTACTTACATCTAATGTATCATTTGCCTTCCAGTTTTGTCATTTGATCCAACATGTCCTTTATAGTATTGTTGTCCTTCCAGTACAGGATCCAGGCCAGGGTCAGGTCCTGCATTCAGGTGTCACATCTTCTTATCCTCTTTCTTTCTACAGCCTTTTATGTGTGTTGGTGCATTTTGAAGTCTGTTGCTTGGAAGCTTACATTTTAAAATGTTTTAAGAGGGTAAGCAGTGAAAGGAGGATATAGAGAGCCATCACGTTTTCTTATTACAAATCATAAATACATAGAATATATGTATTTTCAGTGGTGAAATTGTGAAACTACTTGCAGAAAGAAGATGAGGAACTGAGAAAACAATAGTAGAGAAAGACTCTTAGCCTGAAAAGATGGTGTATCCTTTTAAATGTGAATCAAAACATTTTGGCTTAAGCGCTAATAAAAACAGATGAGCTTGAGTAAATTCTGGTGTGGAAATAAAATAAAAGGCAATTTACATCTCCATCACAGGGAATGGGAGGTGCTACCCAAATTTGTTTTTAGGAAGGATCCTCGCTTTGCCCAGCTGTGCTTGTCCCGATGGGTTTCTTGGTCAGGGCTGAGGCCCAGTGATGAGGTGATTTTCTTGCCACCTCGTGCTGCCAGGACACAGGATCTGATTACTGTCTATCCACTGCTGCACTTCTGAGTATCAGGAGGACATAGGTGCTGCCTGGAGTTAACACTTTCTCAGTTTTCTCACATCAGGCCATAACCTAGAGGATATGGTCTCCAGATGAATTTCTTTATGATTAACTTAGATGAGGGAAGTTATGGGGATGGTATAGAATGTGTTATGGTCTAAAAATTTGTGATATGTACTCATGATTGTAGGCGTACTTCATTTAAAAAACTATATTCTTTAGTTTTTATATTTATGGATGCATACAGTTCAGACAACACAGAGGTGTATAAAGTGAAGCATAAATCTGCCTGTAATCTCACTCCCCAAAGGGGATCACTGTTGACAGACCTTTTTAAAAATGTACATTTAAGCTTTTTAAATTTTTTTTAAACAATGGGATTATTCAATACCTGTTATTCTGCCAGTTGCTTTTTTCCCCTGCTTACCAATGTATTGAAGATATCTTTTCATTGTCAACATTTAGGTGGTTCCTTGTGGTGGTGTTAGGTACCATCACGTCAGTCCAGACTCATAGTGACCCCCTGTACAACAGAATGAAACACCGCCTGGTCCTGTGCCATCCTCATAATCATTGCTATGTTTGAGCCCATTGTTGCAGTCACTGTGTCAGTCTGTCTTGCTGAAGGTCTTCCTCTTTTTTGCTGACCTCCTACTTTACCAAGCATGATGTCCTTCCCCAGGGACTGGGCCCTCCTGATAATATGTCCAGTGTTGCGACGAAGTCTCGCCATCCTTTCTTCTGAGGAGCATTCTGGTTGTACTTCTTCCCAGACAGACTCGTTTGTTCTTCTGGCAGTCCATGGTATATTCGGTATTTTTTGCCAACACTGTAATTCAATGGCATCAGTTCTTAGGTGGTTCCTACCAATTCTTTTTTATGGTGAATTGTTTTTCATTGTGTGGGTGTACTATGATTTATTTAACTGATCCCTTGTTGAAGGACACTTAGGTACTTGCCAGTCTTTGGCTATTATTAACAAAACGCGTGTATATAGATT